GCCTGTCCCCTTCTCTGTCGGTGGAGGGTCCCCGTGTTTCCAGCACAAAGGATCCTGAGCAAAGGTGCTCTCATTAGGATACGATGGACCCCCCCGGCGGTGCCCGCCTGTGGGTGGGGGTGCAGAGGCGGGGCGGTGCCTGTTAGGGTGGGGGGGTGCAGAGGCGGGGCAGTGCCTGTGTGTGGGTGGGGGGGTGCAGAGGCAGGGCGGTGCCCGCGTTTTGGGGGGGGTACAGAGGCGGGGCCGTGTCTTTTTGGGGGTGCGGGGTGCTGGTGGGACTGACAGCAGGGAGAACAGCTGGTCTGAGTCCAGCTGGGTCCCATCACACCCTTCCTCCATGACCCCGTGACCCTGAACTTGTGTGGCTGCATCTTCCACTCCTGGCTGCTGAGTTCATGCGGGCAGGTGGGTTTTTGTGGTTTGCAGCTTAGCAACCTTTCCTGGGCCACCTGAGCGCTGTGACAGGTGTAATGAGAGGAGAGGCCTGGTCCTCCTGTGCTCTTCTTCCTAGAGGAGGACGTGCGAGCTGGGGCTAGAACAGGTGGAGTTCGTACAACGGGGATCCTTTCTTGGGTGGCAGGACTGTGCTAGTGAGGCATCGACATGCAAAGCAACGGACTCGGTCGGTTGAGGCCTGGGAGCTGTCAGTACGTCAGTGTGCAGGGTCGAGGTCGGCCGGGCCGTCGGTGCCGTGAAGTCTGAGCATCAGTGATCAGGGCCACACACCCAGAGAAGGGTGGAGGGGCCCAGCAGGACATCTGTGGGACGCCGGAGAGTTTTGTGAGGTGACCCCAGTCCCGGGCAGGGTCCCAGGGACTGGGGTCGGATGGGGAGCTCTGACTCAAACGGCGTGCAGGGGCTCTTGGCCCTGTTGGGACAGCAGTGGGCACAGGGTCCCCTGGGGGCGCCGGTGGGGCTTGGCCATCTGCTCTGGCCAGCCTGGCTCTGTGTGGGGCTCGGGGGGGCTGTGCCCCCTGTGCAAACCTCGGCCTGGGGCTTGGGAAGGGCAAGCAGTGTAGGAGGTGAGGCCTGAGTGTGACCCACTCACTTCCCGGTGATCCTGCCTCTGAGCCTCAACTCATATGTTTGAGACATGAGTGAATCTCCCAGGAGTCGAGCCAGGATTTCTAAGTATTCTGTGATAGCAAAACTCACAGTTAAATTTTTGATAAAGTTGCAATCGGGCGCCTGGGGGGCTCAGTCGGTTGGGGGTCTGACTTCAGCTCAGGTCATGATCTCATGGTTTGTGAGGTCGAGCCCCACATCGGGCTCTGTGCGCTCTGTGCTGACCATGCAGAGCCTGCTTGGGATTCTCTCTCTCTCTCCCTCTGTCTCCACCCCTCCCCCTGCTCGTGCTTTCTCTCTCTCTCACAATAAATAAATGCACTTAAAAATCAATCAGTCAATCAGTCAATCAATCAAAAGGAAAGTAGCAGCCCAGGCTGTGGGCGACCATGGGCTCAGGCGTGGGGACACTGGGGACCCAGTGAGGTTGTGGAACGAGGAGCAGGAAGAAATACTTCACTTCCAGACCTGCCTCGCCCGGGGTGTGCTCCCTTGTGCGGGAAGGCCGGCTCCGGTCCTGCAGCCTCTGTGACCCTCATTTGCACGTCGGTGGTCTTTCACGGAGCTCTCCTTGGGGACAGACGGGAGGCTTGATCTCCCCTTCTTTCAAATTCCCGAACCAAATGGGTTGTGTCCTGCATCCCCGCAGCGCAGCCTGGGTGGCCGTGGGGCCCAGGTCGGGCCCGTCTCTTGAGGACAGGCTCCCGTGATTCCTGACCCTCTTGTTCCTCTCGGACTATCCTGCCCTTAAGATGGGACCTTCCTGGCCGCTTCTGGGGGCAGTGAGCCTGGCTCCCCACTGTCTACTCCACCCTGTTTGCTTTCTTATGGCTTTCGTCCCAGCCCTCCTGCTGACGGCTCCGACAGGCGATGAACCTGTCTCTTGCAACTCAAGGTCTCTGCTTTTAAAACGCCAGACCCTTCTCTCATCCCGCTGGCTGAGTAAATCTACCCTTGATGGGAGGATGCTACCGGCTGAAAGGGGAATTAGTGGGAGACAGAAAGTCACGAGGACAGCAGCCATAGCAAAGAGCAAAGTCCGTCCTCGTACAAGAGGGCCTTGTGGTGCCAACAGCCTCCTGGAAAACGTGCCCTTATGTTGTTGCCAGACTGGTTGTGGCTTCCAGGGCTGTCGTGCAGCCCAGGTCAGATTGTGTCCTGGCGGCTCTGAGGTTTCATCCCCCACACACTCACTCGTACACACATACACCCCACACTCACTCGTGCACACACACTCATTCGTACACACACTCATACACACACTCACCCACCCTCACACTCACTCACTCATATACACACACTCTCACACCCACACTCACTCATACACTCACACACACCTCCACACCCCCGACACTCACTCATACACACACACTTATAAACACACACACTCACTGGTACACACACCTCCACATACACACTTGTACACACACACCCCACATATACACTCACTTGTACACTCACTCATACACACACTCATACATTCACACATACACACACTCTCACCTACACCCCCCCACTCGCTCATACACACACACACACACACACCCCACACTCGTACACACACACTCGTACACACACACACACACTCATTCATACACACGCACCCCACATACACACTCACTTGTACACACACACTCACTCATACACACACATACCCGTACACACACCCCCCACACTCGCACACACACACAGTTGTACACACACTCCCCCACATACATACTCACTCGTACACACACACTCGTACGCACACACCCCACATTCACTCGTACACACACACTCATTCGTACACACACTCATACGTTCACACATACTCATACACTCTCACCCACCCCCACACTCACTCACTCATATACACATGCACTCTTACACCCACACTCACTCATACACTCACATACACCTCCACACCCCCCACACTCATACACACACACACACTTACTCGTACACACTCACTCATATACACACACTCACTCGTACACACACTCATACACTCATACATACACACACTCTCACCCACACCCACACCCACACTCCCTCGTATACACACACACTCACGCCCATACACCCACACTCACTCATACAGTCACACACACCTCCACACCTGCACACTCACTCGTACACACACACATACACTCACATACACACATACCCACACCCACACTCACTCATACACTCACACACACTCACACATACGCATACTTACACTCCTGCTCACACAGATGTCCCATGATTTCCAGCCAGGCTGGCTGTGGTCTGTCTAGTGCATGAGAAAAGCCTTTAAATTGAAATACAGGGGCACCTGGGTGGCTCAGTCGGTTGAACGTCCTACTCTTGACTTCGGCTCAGGTCACGACCTCACAGTTCATGAGATTGAGCCCTGCGTCGGGCTGTGCGCTGACAGCACAGAGCCTGCTTGGGATCCTCTCTCTCTCCCTCTCTCCCTGCCCTGCCCCCGTTCATGCACGCTTGTGCTTTCTTTAAATAGATAAATAAAGATTAAAAAAAACCTTAAATACGAACTGAGTGTTTGCTTTGTGCACCAACCAGGCCATTGGGTGGAGATTTGAGCTTTTATTTCTGGCATTGGATAGACAGAGGCGCATCCTTGAGCGTCGTTGGCATTGTCCACATCACGTGCGCCGGCTGGGTGGTGGGTGCAGCACGGTCGGTCACCTGGGGCCCCCGCCCCGGGACGCTCCGTGTGTCACCTTCCCACTCCACGATCCTTTAAGGCAAGTTTCCACATCGCGTCTGCTTCTGCATCCCACTGCTGAGTCTGCATCTGCTGTTTCTGCTTTGTCCTGGGTCAACCCAGGTGACAGATCCCCGTGTCGGGGATTTCCAGGAAAAAAATCCATCACGGTGTGGGCTGTGGCTATGGCGGGATGGGGAGCTGGGGGTGTTCAGCCTTTCCAGGAATGCTATTGTGCTTGATTGGAATGATCCAGAAGGAGGAATTTGGGCCAGTGGCCACAAGTACAGCGAGGCAAGCGCCAGCCCAGCACAGAGAGGGCCGCAGCTGCCCTGGGTGATGGATGGAGAGCCCCGGGGCAGGGGAAGGGAGGGGGGACCACCTGGACTCTGACACAAGGTCCGTCCTTGGCCAACCGCCTGTCACCTGAGCCTCAGCCTCCTGATCAGCACGCAGGGCCGTGGTGCAGGAGCGGGCACCTAGTGCTGCCGTGGGGGTCAAGTGAGGTCATATCCACACAGCTCTGGGCTGGGCCAGGTCCCTCCTCTTTTGCCCCTTCCCCTTCCTGTCTACTCCGTGCAAACATGGGAGTGTCCCAGGCTAGCCGGGTGGCACGTGGCAGGGGTGGGGGACCGCGGCTCACTTGCATGACGATGAGGCAAGCATTCGATAAGGTGAATCGTCCGTTCAACGTGGAAAGAAAGACCTGTCTTCAGAAGAAAGCTGGTAAAAAGGCACAAGGTGTGGGTCACTAAGTCACGGCCTCTCCGCACAGGGTTGAGAGGGACAGGCCAGGTGCCCCCGAAAGAAGCCGGTCTCTGCTCTGGCACTCTGGTTTTGTTCCCACTTTGCAAAGCACTGGGCTGCATACTTTTTTTAACTTAAAAAAAAATTTATTTGTTTTGAGAGAGACAAAGCATCCAAGTGGGAGAGGAGCAGAGAGCCAGCAACAAAGAGAGGGAGAGAGAGAGGGGGAGGGAGAGAGAATCCCAAGCAGGCTCCACACTGTCATCGCAGAGCCCAGCTCAGGGCTTGAACTCACCAACCTCGAGATCCCGACCTGAGCCGAAACCAAGAGTCGGACGCTTAACCGACTGAGTCTCGTAGGCGCCTCTGGATAATTTTTTACATTCTTAAACCATGGTGGGGTGGGGGGTTTTCCAAGGAAGTCTGGGAGGAAGGAAGACACGAGTCCGTATGGTAAGGAGGACAGGAGGTCTGACCCGACCGTGGGCTTGTGTTCCAGGTGTCTCCGTGTGAGCGGTGCCGCTGCGAAGCCAACGGAGAGGTGCTGTGCACAGTGTCCGCGTGTCCACAGACGGAGTGTGTGGACCCCGTGTACGAGCCTGACCAGTGCTGCCCCATCTGCAAAAATGGTAAGCGAGACGCCCGTCGACGGGGCCGCGTCCTGCACGTGTTTACCGCCTGCTTCGTGGTCCGTGAAACACAAAGCTGCGTGCATGAGTGAGTTGGGATGTGTGTCCACGCACCCTCGCGGGCCCAGCACGTGACCGCTGGCCCCAGGGGACAGTCAGGAGGCGTGCTGTCTCTAGTTGGGGTCGGCCCCGTGTTCTAGGTCATCGAGAAGTGCTTTGTGGAGAATTTCGATTTCCAGAGTGAGGAGAGTCGTTCATTTTAATTTAACTTTGTTTGTTCTTGCAAAGCAGTTTCTCTCCTTCCAAGACAAATCAAACAGGCCGGCCGGGCTCATTTGCTTTTCATTACTAAGTGAATTAAACCGAGAGCATAATTGAATATTTTTCATAAGTAAATCAGGCAGGAAGAGAAACCCCCTCTCCGGTGAGAGCCCGTGGTAGATCAAAAGCCTCATCTGGTTTACGGAGAAGAAACGGCAGGATGTCCTTGATCATAATTTATGAAGGGACAGCGTTTCCTCATCCTGAATAACGAGAAGTACTTTGTACCCGAAGTACTGAGCGCCGTTCTGGGCGCCGCACTGGAAGGGGGGATGTGACAGGAGGGTGTTCCCAGGGGGAGTGGGCCGAAGAGAGATGGCTCAAGAGGACAGCGTGGTAAAGCCGTTGAGCTGGAAGTGAGCGGACTCTGGCTTCATGACCACATCTTCGTGAGTTCGAGTCCCGCCCCTGCGAGAGGACTCCAGTGATGTCTGCAGGGCCCCGGGGCGTGGCCTGAGCGTTTCAGGGGAGGGGCGTCGCTCTGGGGTTGTAGGCCCGAGATGGAAGCTGTGCGATGCGGGCTTTGCAGGTGGCCGGTGGTTACACGGGGCTGTTGCTGGTGTTTGAGACGATGCTCAGGTTCTGCAGTTGTGCCAGTCAAAACCGCCTGGGTGGTGGGGCGCCGCGATGCCCTTCGCGAGGTAGACGCAGGTACCGGACTTCACCACCATGATACACGTGCAGGAGAGGGAGTCGAGTTTCTGGGGAAGAAGGATAGTCCAGGAAGACCAAGCTCGCTGTGTTTGGGGTGGAAAGGGCCACCCTGTGGAGGCGTGGTTTGCACGGCCTTTTGAACGTAAGCGGACAGCGTTAGAGCTCTTGCAGAGCGCGCTTTCCATGGGGTCGCGGTTCTGCGTGTATTAATCGTGAAGAACGAAAACCACAGGACATGATGCCACGAGATTCCATGCGATCGAGCGGGAGGGGGGGCGTTTGAGCACAGACTAAGCTCTTTTTGCAAAATCAGGTCACACGGACAGCTGCGGGGTGGGAAGGGCATCAGTGTGGCTTTCTCTGCTAGGGTCTGTTAGAACCGGCTGGAATGGAGTCGGGGTGGGGAAGGAGAGGCTGCTAGAGAGGCTGGCGGCCCTTGCTGGGGTGTGGAGTGAAGGAAACCTGCAGAGGCGTGGGTCGGTGCCTGGGGTCCGTCGGAGATGAGGGTGGCTCATCTCTAGGCTGCGGCACCAGCTCAGGGGCTGGGTGCAGGGCTGTGTACTGCACAAGTAACCTCTTGTTGAGTCAGTGCTGTTTAGTGATTGATTTAAATATGGGTTGCCCACAGATCTGGTATCTTAAGTATCTAAGATACTGTTATTTCTCTTGCCACGCACGATCAGAAACAAAGTTTTGGAGTTTGATAGGGAATGTTGGGATGTTTCTGAAAGATGAGAAGATGGGATTTCAATCTCTGAGGAATTTTCAATCCCTGAAACTTAAAAAAAAAAAAAGTTTATTTAAAGGCGCCTGGGTGGGTCAGTCAGTTAGGCATCCGACTTCAGCTCAGGTCATGATCTCTCAGTTCATGAATTTGAGCCCTGTGTCAGGCTCACTGCCATCAGCACAGAGCCTGCTTTGGATCCTCTGTCTCCCTCTCTCTTCACTCCTCCCCTGCTCACGTGCTCTCTCTCTCTCTCTCTCTCTCTCTCTGTCTCTCAAAAATAAACACATTAAAAAATGTTTATTTTGACAGGGAAAGAGAGTACACATGGGCACATGAGCGAGTAAGGGGCAGAGAGAGAGAGAGAGAGAGAGAGAGAGAATCCCAAGCAGGCTCCGCGCTGTCAGCACAGAGCCCGACTTGGGGCTTGATCCCACGAACTGTGAGATCATGATCTGAGCTGAAATCAAGAGTCGGATGCTGAATTCACCCACTGAGCCACCCAGACACTCCATCCAATCCATGAAACTGTATAAAGGTTTAAAACTATTTATAATGGCACAACGAACAGGTGTATACCTTTCACGATATTTACCTATGGCTAACGTTTTGCCATTTTGCTGTATCTCTTTTGACCTCTGTCTTTATCCCTGCTTTTCCCCATGTCTGTCTGTAACCCCATGCCTTCCATACATCTCCTACTTTGTTCTTTCCCATAATGTACGCTGGAGACCTTCTATTTATGCCATCACCAGCATGAAGCCTACTGAGTAAAGTCCAAGATCTTTCTTTGCAGTTCTTCTTACTCTTAGGATTTATCCCGGTTAGGTATAGAGTCAGAGAACTATCTTTAGAAATTATCTTTTTTCAGGGGGCGCCTGGGGGGCTCAGTCGGTTAAGCGTCCAACTTCGCCTCAGGTCGTGATCTTGCAGTCCGTGGGTTCGAGCCCCAGCCTTGGGCTCTGTGCTGACAACTCAGAGCCTGGAGCCTGTTTCAGATTCTGTGTGTCTCTCTTTCTCTGCTCTTCCCCTGCTTGCATCTGTCTCTCTCTCTCTCTCCCAAAATAATAAATACGCATTAAACAAAAGAAATTCTCTTTTTTTTCATCTCCATGACATGGATTTTAATTTTTTTTAATGTTTGTTTTGTTTTTGAGACCGAGAGAGACAGAGCATGAGCAGGGGAGGGGCAGAGAGAGAGAGGGAGACCCAGAATCTGAAGCAGGCTCCAGTCTCCCAGCTGTCAGCACAGACCCCGACGCGGGGCTCGAACCCACAAACCGTGAGATCATGACCTGAGCCAAAGTCGGATGCTTAACTGACTGAGCCCCCCAGGTGCCCCTTTGACATGGATTTTATAACTGGAAGTTTGTACCTCTGGAACCCCTTCACCTATCCCTCCCAACTCCCCACCCCGCCCCTGTGGCAGTCACAGTGTGTTCTTGAACCAATTCCTTATTGGTGTGCGTATGTTAAAATTTGAAGGATTCTTACTTTGAGAGACAGCATGGAATGGAATAAAGCAGGATTTGGGGATGGTATATTCGAGAGTCTTAGAAGGAGCAGAAATACGCTTTTTAAAACCGGATTCAAGAAGGATTACAGATTCTAGAAGGATTTGTATTAAAAGGTTTTGATCCAATTATGTCAGAACATCAACAGCTTTTTTATTTTCAGGCGTACAAGTAGGAAGAAATTTAAATGTGCCTGATCATATAAACGCTAGGAAGGTTTGCTACACCATATTCTCCAGATAGAATGTGGTTTTTCAGCCGCCAATGGCCATAGGGTATTCTGACCTTCACAGATTAAATGGCGTTTGACATTCCTAGCAAAAACTTGACTTGAGAATTGAAGAGTTTCTAGTGAGCATGAGTTCTCTGTAATCAATGACCGAGATTAGTGAATAATTTAGAGTTCATCCCTGCCACGCACACACATAAAACAATGGTTTTGTAAGAAAAAATTACACGTGGAATCCCAGATTCTAGGACATCAAAAACAATGCGTGGGGCTCCCAGGTGGCTCAGTCGGTTGAGCATCTGACTTCGACTCAGGTCATGATCTGATGGTTTGTGAGTACGAGCCCCGCATCAGGCTCTGCGCTGACAGCTCAGAGCCTACTTAGGATCCTCTCTTCCCTTTTCTGCCCTTCCCCCGCTTGCCCCTCCCCCGCAAAAATAAACATTAAAAAATACATTAAAAAACCAGCGCCTTATACAAAATTCAATGCTTGGATAGACATAGCTTGGATGGAATAAGGAAGGTTTTAAGTCTTGATCTCCGTAAACAGGCCTTTACTCTGCATACTCTAATGTTTTGACCTATCGCCTTAAATACCTCCTTCTCCCGACAGAAGGAGAATTACAGTTGAGTTGCAAGCTGTCAAAGTCACTTGCGTCAAGGGAGCAAAAGTTTGAAACCTGGAATGCATGGGGTATAAATAAATGATCACAAATCAAGTGCACTTAATGTATTCACTTTGGTGACTTGTGTAGATCAATCTTCCAAGGATTTTCTTTTGATAAAATGGTTTGGGTGGCACTGCGTTTTTTTCTCCCCCCTTTTCGCAGTGATACAAACAGTGAATATTATTTATACGGACTTTCAAGATGTCAGGTGTGCTCTGGTAACAGGCGCACTTCACAGATGAGGTTCACAGCACTCGTTCCAGTAAAGCCCCTTTGTCTCAGACACTTGCCACATTGGAGATCGGGAGACTCTGTTCTGCACCTGTGTGCTCCCCTACATGCATGCAAGTGGGGCATGACCTTGACTCTGGGCCTTGTTAGGATCAGCTCTGATGGTCTGAAGGGGAAGAACATATCCGAGGTAGTACAACGCACTTCCAAGAGCATAAGGCCCTGAGTACAAAGGTGGTATATCTCGCTGGAGTATCTGTGCTTCTGACAATACAGTTGATCCTTGACTGACACAGGTTTAAACTGTGGGTCCACTTGCATACAGATGTTTTCCCAGTAAACATAGGACAGTTCTATAAATGTGTTTTTGCTTCCTCGTGATTTTCTTAACATTTTCTCTTCTCCAGCTAACTTCAGGAGTATGACATTCAATACATACAGCATACAAAATATGTGTTAATCAACTCCTTGTGTGATCTATCAGTAAGACTTCTGGTCAACTCGTAGGCTGTGAGTGGTGAAGTTTTGGGGGGGAGTCAAAAGTCATACAGAGATTTGTGACTGCACAGGGGTCAGTGCCCTAAACCCCTGCACTGTTCCAGGGTTGACTAGTGTTTTGCAACCGTATTTCCGTGAGAAAATAAATATGGCTTTTGGGG